TTTGTAATCTGCCCAATAGTATAATAGACTTCTATACATAATTTTAGGTTTAAGTTTGGGATAAGCTCACATCTCTCTATGTTAAGTACAATAATTTATACATAAACAATAATATAATCCTATTCTAACTAGGCTTTAGCGTATGGAAAAAATTTCAATAAAGAGGTCATATCATTATCTAAAAGTGTAATTTATTATTTTTTCTTTGATAAGCTAAATGATTTGTACACGCTGTGGCCATAGGAATCCTCTTCGTGTGTCCTTTTGAGATTAATTAAAAACAACTGTGATATCTTCATGCTTAAGAATTTCAAGTGCAAACAAATGACAAGAATTATATATTAGGCAAGGCTATCGAGATTTGCCTTTTTTTAATATTTTATTTCATTTTATTAATTCTTTTTTCTTTTATTTTCATAATTTAAGAAATATTACATATGTGATGATGACAAGCGGGGCAACAAGCTGTGCCGCTAATCCTTTCTGAATTACAAAACCCAACCTACAAAACATGTACTCAGCAGACCATGCTGTCGCTACATTCTTATTCATGAATTTCTGTATCCTCCTGAGAAACTCTACTGCATCAGCTGCAAGGAAACCAAACGTATCGAAAGCGAACGGGATGAAGTTGTGGTGGTTGTCCTCGCAAGCTTGATCATGTTTGCCCACCTTTTCATATATATAAGCGCAGCACTCTTTTTATATTGTAGATTAAGGTCATTAAAAAAATTTAACACTTTCAGATTTAGAAGGGATTTAAAATCCACACCATTATATGGAGATAAAGTGATTCACTCTAAGTATAAATTATCTACATCATTTACTCAAAATAACTCAAAATTAAGATGTTTAAATTAACCCCTTGAGATTAATGACTTGAACTGATTTAAGATTATGTCTTTTTCCCCTTTAAATATTCCATTTAAAGTTCCTTTTTCGCCTTTGCTTTTTAGTCAAGAACTATTTAGTTTCGGTAGTTTGCTTTTGCGTACAAACTTCAGGGCATCTAAAGCTCCTTTGCTTCTTCCTCGTTTGATGCCTTTTATTTTTATTTTTATTTTAATTATTAAACGATATAAAAAAGGGGTAACTTGTATACATATATGGCCTGAATTATTACTTAAAGGAGCTTCATCAAGCCAAGCTGCACCATACGTAGAAAAGTAAAGCATCACTAGAAAAACATTTTCATAGTATTTTCTTTTTAGTACGAAAAAAGTTTGAATTTCACATCTTGCTTAATGTAGGCTTCAGTATAAACCAAAATCGAAAAAAGAAAGGAAAAAAGTGACTGCTGAACTCACCTATACAGGAGGTCATCAATTCTGAGTTTGGTAAGTAATAAAGCAATACCTAATCACATATATAAAAAAAAGTCAAACTTACACCATAAGGGGCTCTTTGGTTCACTTTTTTAAAAGTTCAAGGAAACGGGTTTCTGTGCCTGACATCATCTCCATCTCGGATTTTTTGTTTTTGCCTATTTCTTTTCGTCGCTTTGGTTCGCTAGGGTTGAAGCGGAGAAACCCCGTTGAAAACGTCGCCACCTCGGACTTTTTCCTCTCCCCGATTTCCTTTCCTAACCGAGAGAAATCGAGGAAAACCCTTGCCACCTCTGACAATCGCAATCTCGTTTCTCTCGTTGATTTCTTTGGTGACGCTAGAGTTACCTCTTTGCTCTCCCCCCGCCAGAAATCTCCTGCGGCCTTCTTTGTCACTGTCTTCGAAGAAATTGTGTGTGTGTGTGTGTGGTGGGGGGGGGGGGGGGGGGGGGGGGGTTTCCGGACTTGCCGACCCCTACCTTCAGGAAAACTCTGCAATTCCTACCCTCCTTCGATCCTCAATTTATGTTGTACTTTTGAATTCAAAATAGCTTTGTCTCTGCTGGCTCCAACAACTCAAGTAAAAATTGCATTTTTTTATTTCAGATTATTAGTTTATTTTACAGCTATTTATGTTACTGTAAAATCTAGATCCGAGCTATGCGGGTGTTGTTGCTTGCAAATTTTTTAATTTAATTAATTTTCTGATTATTAGATAGTATGAAGATGTTGTGAATTTTTTTTTTTTTGGTGAATCTGATGGATCTTTTGGTGGATGTGTTGGTTCTTGATATTTGATGTTGCCTAAAAATTTTGGAAGGCAATTTTTTTCTTTTTAGGAGCTAAAAGTTCAGATCTTTGATATTTTTAACTGCTATTTATGTTACTGTAATATTATTTGCTTAGATATTGCAGTAATCCATGTTAGTAATTTGTAATTTGTAATTTGTTCACACATCTTCAATATGCAATTTGTTCGATTTTTGAGTTACGTAAAAATCGCCACAATGCACATAAACAAACACAATTGCTACATAAACAATGTTACATGTCATATCTCTGAAAATATATCAGTTTGTAATCTTTGAAAATATATCAGTTTATAATCTTGTTGGTTTGTCATTAATTTTTGTAAATTGCAAGTCATTCAGGTTTTGTTAGAATTCTACTTAGTTTCTAACTGTATAATGATATTTGCATCGTAGATGGATGGTGATGGGGATTGTTCCGATGAACAAAGTATTGTTAATATTGTTCAAGGTGCTGCACTATCCGTTGTTTGGTTGGTTGGTTAGTTTTTGAGCAGACATTTTTGCCTGCAGGATATTCATTTTCCTTCAGCGGTTT